GGACCTCCGGGATCGCCGTGCGTGCTCAGACCCAGCCCGGAGTCCCTTCCCAGCGGGATCTCCTTGGAGCCCCTTCCCGGGGGCCGCTGGATCCCCCTCCCGGCGGTGTCTGCCCAGATCCGCTTCCCTGGGGTCCTCGAAGTCCTTCCCGGGGCCACCTGGAGCCCTCCTGGGGATTCCCGAAGCCCTTCCAGGGGTGCCTGGAGCGTCTTCCTGGAGGATCTGCTCGGATCCGCTTCGCGGGAGTCCCTGAATCCTTCCCGGAGGCACCTGGAAGCCCTTCCCGGGTGATCTGCCCAGAGCCCCTTCTGGGGTTCCCGAAAGCCCCTTCCCAGGGGGTTGTGCTCGGATCCTCCTTCCCGGGGAATCTGCCCAGCTCCCCTTCCCAGGAGGCACCAGGGGCCTTCTCGCGGGGTCCCCAAAGCGTCTTCCCGGGGTTCTGCCAGATCCTTTCCCGGGAGCCACCAAATCCCTCCCGGGGTTCCCAGATCCCCTTCCCAGGTGTCCCCAAAGCCATCCCGAGGGCGCCTGGATCCCTCCCGGGGGTCCCTGAAGCACCTTCCTGGGATATTCTGCCCAGATCCCCTGCCTGGGGTCTGTCCAAATCCCTTCCTGAGGGCTCTGCACTGGACTGATGATGGAGTTGTTAATTGCGGGGTGATTAACTTACGTAGCTACTCATTTATAGGTTTATTAATACATTTAACTTAATGGTTATTATTTATGTCAGTTAATTCAATTCACACCTGTATTAATTGACACGTATATGTATTTACATCTCTGTGGTGTCACTGGGGCTCAGCAGCTCCGACCGTGCCCAAATTTCCCTCATTCCAATCCATTCCCATGTCCCGTGGGGAGGCTTAACCAGAGCTGCTCCACATTCCCAGAGCAGAGGGTGGATTTGATCCCATAATCTGGGGAGAAATAGGATTTTGGGGGGTTTCCTGGAGTCACGGGGATCCCAGGAGGTGGCAGCAGGTTCCTGACTGGAGCTGAACAAAATGTTCCCAGAATGAGGAAAACTTAATGGGTTTTTCTGGGAATTGCCATCCCACAGAGCCAAACTGGGAATTAAACCACCTTGGACCCCTGCAGAGTGTGGCAGGAGGAATTATCCGCCTGGAGATGGGATGTTCTTGCTTTGGGGAAGGAATTGGCTCTGGTGTGAACTCAGGTGTAAATCCCACCTGTTCCCAGTGGGATCTGCTGCATCCCAGTTTGCTTCCTGGCACTGGCAGGAGTCTGGATCCTTCCCTCTTTCTGCCCAGGTGCTGAGCTGATCCCTCCAACCCTTTTCATCTGACCTGGATGGTCCCATCCGATCCCTAAACCCTCCTCAGGGCCATTCCCAGGGCCTGATCCCACGTTTTCCAGTCCCTCCTGTACTGGTGATCCCAGACCTGGATGCTCCACTCCCTCCACTCACCTCCTGTCTTATGGGTGATCCCATGGATGAGGAGGATTCCCAGGGCCTCATCCCACATTTTCCCGCCCCTCCTCCACTGGCAATCTCAGACCTGGATGGTCCAATCCCCCAACTCCTCTTCTGATCCCAATGGATCCAGAGCTCCCTGAGACTCTCCAGAGCTGTGGCATCTTCTGGGCTGAACTATGGCTTATGGAGCTTCCTTGGAGCAAGTTTTCCATTGTTTTGGTGGTTAATCAGCCATTGGAACAGGTGCCTCTGGATCTTTGGAACTGAAATCACCATTAAACATGGATAATTTCGCTATGGAGATGGGTGGATCCATCCTTGTATCCATCACCTGTTCCAGCTGCAGTGAAAATTCTTCACGGTTTTTCCACCCTGTGGATTGTTCCAGTGGCACTCTGGACTGGAATGAGGGAATTGAGTTCCCTAAGTGCTGATCCAAAGGGCTATCATGGCAGGTTTAGTTGGGATGAGAGTGAAAATCCCAGCCCTGCTCTGGGGTTAACTCCAATTCGGGATGAAGCCCTGGAATTCCTGCCAGGAGCTGGTGTTCCCTGGATCTCTCTTGTGGTTATCCCAGTGGGAATGAGCTATGTCCTGGGCAGGTTTGGGATAAAACACTCATTTCCCACTAGTTTGTGAGGAAGGACAGATCCATCTGGAATTCCAGCTGGGCCGTGGGAACTTGCCTAGAGCTGGTCGTTGCTCCTGGTTGGTTATTCCTGGGAAGAGGAGAGGGTGGAGGTGGATTTCCTTGGAATGATTTGCCTGTAGAGAGGATTTTCCTGCTGGTCGTGACTCTGAAATCCATATGACAGCTCCAGGTGATCCAAAGCTCGCACAGATTCCCTGAAGGAATTCTCTGTTAGCATGAAATTCCTGACTTTTGCAGTTCGGGGATGCCCTGAATCCCTGAGGTTGGATCTGTTTGCCTCTTCCAGCAGTTGCTCAAGCACTTCCCTCCTAAACCGTGGAGGGGCTGAGGTTGGAGTGGCAGCTTTGGGGGAATCTTCTGGAAAGCCTCAAGATTCCTTCATTATCCCAAATATCCACCCTGGACAGTTTAAATACTCCAAGCTTTTCCCAGGAATGGCGTTCTTGGGATGTCCAAAGGCATTTGGGAGGTGGGGATGGGTGGGGGAGAAGTAGGTGGGTTGGGAATGGCAGCAGGGAGGGGCACCTCATTGACCATCCAGCATCCAACTGTTTGGGAATGCTGCTTATCCCATGAGGGCTGTGGAACCACCTCCTGGGAGTGAGTGGTGCTGGTTTTCTGGGGAAAATAAAGTGAATTTTGAAATGTTTGTGCTGGGGGAATGCAGAGCTACTGGGAATCAAGGGAAGATGGCACTTGGAGTGTTGGATGAACTTCCACCACTCCAGGTTGCTCTAAGCCCTGTCCAACCTGGCCTGGAACACTTCCAGGGATGGGGCAGCCACAGCTTCCCTGGGCAACCTGTGCCAGTGCCTCAGCACCCTCACAGCCAACAATTCCTTCCCAACATCCCATCTCTCCCTGCCCTCTGGCTGTGGGAAGCCACTCCCCCTTGTCCTGTCCCTCCAGGCCTTTGTCCCAAGTCCCTCTGCAACTCTTTTGGAGCCCCTTGAGGCACTGGAAAGGACTCTAAGATCTCCCTGGAGCCTTTTCTTCTCCAGGCTGGACATCCCCAGCTCTCCCAGCCTGGCTCAGTGGCAGAGGTTCTCCAAAACCATGGAATCCTGGAATGGTTTGGGTTTGGAAGGGACCTTAAATCTCATCCAGTCCCACTCCCTGCCATGGACAGGAACACCTTCCACTAGCCCAGGTTGCTCCAAATCCCATCCAACCTGGCCTGGAACTTTCCAGGGATGGGGCAGCCAGAGCTTGTTTGGACAAGAAGAGAGTTTAGAGCCCATGGACTCAATGGATCATGGAAATGCTGGGGTTGGAAAAGCCTCTTGGATCATTGAATCCAACCATTGGTCTCCAAGAATGGAGACAAAACAACCCTGAAATTGCAGGAGAAACCAAGGCTCAACCTCTCATGGGATATTTCCATCCTGGATGTGCTAGCAACAAAGCCCAAAGGGTTTGGGATGTTCCCAGGGATTTAGGGGCGCAGGAGGCAGGATGGGAGCTGGGGATGTGCTCGTGGCCCGTCCCCATCAGCAGTTCCCACCCCACAGCTCCATCACGTGTGAGGGAGGAGACTGTGGTTGTGGCACTTCCTGGCCCTGAGCTCCTCCATTCCGACCCTCTAGAACCCCCAGGACAAGGGGGAGAGCCTCTGGAGCCCCCCTGGAGCCCCTCCTGGCTCCATCCCACTCCCAGGGATTCCCATGGAGGATGAGGTGGGTGCTGGGATTAGGGAAGCCCCAGGAAGCAGAAGCTGCGTCATGGCGGGAGGTGAGGTGCTTCCGCCTTTGGGAACCCAAATCCTCCCCCAGGAGAACCTTGAGGGTGTGGGATCATCCCAGCCCCATGGATCCATGAGGAAAAAGTGGGAATCTATTAGGATGAATCCAGAGCCAGCTGGTGGAGGGGGAAGTACCTGGGTACGGCCTTGATCCCAGTGGTGGGTTCCTGTATCAATCTGCTTTGGATTCCTAAAAGATTCCTATAGACTTAGATCCTATGGTGTTAGATCCTTAGGCATCAGCAGCCAAGATTCGCAGTGGGACACCGCTGGAATTTGAGGGTCCTCAAACCTCTGCTCTTGGCAAACAGACCTGTTGTGTCCAGGAATTCCTCTTCTCTGGAGTCCCATCCCCTCAGCAGGTTTATGGAATCTTGGAGTAACCTGATAAGGATCATGGAATCCCTCTCCTGGATGCTCTGTGTGGGGAGGGATGTTTCCCTAAAATCCACACTGCTGCTCCTGAGGCAGAGCTGCCTTACAGGAATAGCACCTGGAGCTGTTTCCATCCCTGTTGTCCTATAAAATCCCTTTATTTTTATCACCCTGATCCAAGGGATTTTTCCAGGCCAGGCTGTCCTGATGTCCTTGTGGCTCACACCAGGAGCTGCTCATTCCTGTTCTCCCAGGAGCTTCTCCGTGGTTTATACTTAACTAATTCACCTCTGGAAGCACCTGTGGATCCCACATTCCTGCCTCTTGCCACTGAGGACCAGGAACAGCAGGATGTGCCTGTCCTGAGAGGTGGGGAGCAGAGGCCACTCCTGGCCAAGGAGCTCCCAAATCCTGGGATCTTGCCGTGGAACCCCTGGATCTACCTGCTCCAAATATCCATTTCCCTTGTTAAACCTGGTACCGGAGCCATTTGGGGACATTCCTCATCGTTTATCCAGGATCCATGTGGCATTCCCGTGTGGATGCTGAAGGACACTGTGCTCCCACATGTTGGCTCCAATGGTTTTTCAAACCCAGCACTTCAGGAACACATTTTTCCCAAGGAAGTCCATTTTCTGGCTCATTTCTTCATGATTTTGGGCCTCCTTGGACAAGTTTTCAGCATTCCTACCTTTCTGTTTGGCATTCCATGGCAAGTGGCCACAGTAAAGGTACAAAACCTTGGAAGAACCTGCTGAATCTGCTCTTCACCTGGAATATAGTTGTAATTCCCTTATCTGGAAGGGGATTTGGGGGGACAAACACTCCATTTTGGCAGTGGAAATGTTCATCACCTGTGTTGTATCCCAGGAGAAGGGTTTTGGGTGGAAAACCATGGGATCGTAGCTGCAAACTCCATGGGTAAATCCAGCTGGATGGGACTGAAGGGCACTGGGCATGGTGGGGACTGCAGGACTCCTTCTCACCCTCATCCTATGTTCCTTTCCTCTTCCCAGCCTGGAATTGTGTCTCCTTTCAAGCGAGTGTTCCTGAAGGGGGAGAAGGGTCGGGATAAGAAGGCTCAGGAGAAGGTGACGGAGCGGCGGCCGCTGCACACTGTGGTAGTGACACTGCCCGACCGTGTCGAGCCCGACCTGCTGCTCCATGACTACATTGAGAAGGAAGTCAAGGTACCACCAATTTGCTTGTGTTTGGGGAATTTATAGAATCGTGGAATGTTCACAGGTTGGAATGGATCCTGGGCAGGATCACCTCCCACCAGACCAGTTTGCTCAAGGCTTTATCCAACCTGGAATGAACACTGCCAGGGCTGGGGCAGCCACAACCTCTCTGGGCAACCTGTGCCAGTGCCTCGCTAGCCTTGTGGGGAAGAATTCCTTCACAATATCCCATCTCTCCCTGCCCTCTGGCAGTGGGAAGCCATTCCCCCTTGTCCTGTCCCTCCAGACCCTTGTCCCACGTTCCTTTGCAGCTCTCTTGGAGCCCCTTTAAGCACTGGAAGGGGCTCTGAGGTCTCCCTGAAGCTTCTCTTCTCCATGTGAACATTCCCACCTTTTGCCTAGCTCTGGAGAAGTGCTCCAGGTTTTCCTTGGAGCATCTCCATGGCTCCTCTGGTCTCATTTCACCATTTCCAGGGCTGTGGTAATGATTTGGTGGTTCTTTCCCAGTATTTAGGACAACTCACCTCCATCCCAGGATACCTGAACCCTTCCAGCCGCACAGAGATCCTCCACTTGATCGACAATGCAAAGGTGAGCACTGACCTCCCCCAGGAATCTGAGCATGGAAAATCCAGGATCAAGGAACTTCCTCAGGGCTTGGGGTTTGTCCAGCTGGTGTCCTCCATCCTGGTGTTCTGTGGATAGGGCACCTATCCTCCTGGTGTTCCATGGATGGTCAGGAAGGGTTCAACAGTGGGAGGGAAAGCTGTTCCCAAAGAGAAACATCCCTGGGAGGGCAGTGAGGGACTGGGATGGAATTCCCAGAGAATCTGTGGCTGCCACATCCCTGGAAGTGTTCCAGTCCAGGGTGGATGAAGCTTGAAGCAACCTGGTCTAGTGGAAGCTGTCCCTGTCCATGGCAGGGAGCTGGATAATCCTTAAGAGCCATTCCAGCCTGATCCACTGTGGGATTCTGGGATTGCATCCACGCCAATCCCTGTGTTCCAGAGGGCTCACCAGCTCCCAGGACAGCTGACCCCAGAGCACGACGCTGTCATCAGCCTCTCAGCCTACAACATCAAGCTGGTGTGGAGGGATGGGGAGGACCTGATCCTGCGGGTGCCCATCCATGACATCGCCTCCGTGTCCTACATCCGTGATGACTCCGCACACCTCGTCGTGCTCAAGACTGGTAAGTTGTGGCCATGGATTTGGGATTGTCCCCAGGGTTGGACAGGACTTGGAGCAACCTGGGCTAGTGTAAGGTGTCCCTATCCATGGCAGGGGCTGGAGCAAAATGATCTTTGAGGTCCCTTCCAACCCAAACCATTCCAGGATTCCATGGTTCTGGAGCACATTTGCTCTGGGACAGGCTGGGAGAGCTGGAGGTGTTCAGCCTGGAGAAGAGAAGGCTCCAAGGAGACCTTAGAGACCCTTCCAGCAACTAAAGGAGCTCCATGAGAGCTGTAGAAGCACTTTGGACAAGGGCCTGGAGGGACAAGACATGGGGAATGGCTTCCCACTGCCGGAGGGCAGGAATAGATGGGATGTTGGGAAGGAATTGTTGGCTGTGAGGGTGCTGAGGCACTGGCACAGGTTGCCCAGGGAAGCTGTGGCTGCCCCATCCCTGGAAGTGTTCCAGGCCAGGTTGGACAGGGCTTAGAGCAACCTGGAGTGGTGGAAGGTGTCCCTGCCCATAGCAGAGGGTGGAATTGAATGATCCCCAAGCTCTTTCCATGGGGATTCCATGACACCTGGAGCCTGTCCCAGCATCTCTGCATGTCACACCTGTGTGGTTTGGGGACAGGAAGGGCTGAGCCAGGTATTTATCCAATTACAAAGCCCATGGACAGTCTGTGGGATAAAGAAATGCCTAAGGGGCTGGAATTCCATGATGGAATTCCATTATGGAATTCTGAGCTGTGCAGACAGCTGGATATTCACAATGATCAAAACCAGCTCCAAATTTGAGGCTTTTCATCCCATTCTCCTGCTCTGCTCCTCCCAGGACTCCTCTCTGTCCCCTCCCATCCCACCTTTCCCTCACTCCTCCTCTTCCCCCAGCCCAGGACCCTGGGATTTCCCCCAGCCAGAGCCTGTGTGCCGAGGGCTCCAAGGCACTGACGTCGGGGTCACTGTCGGAGAGCGCGGGGGCACCCCTGGAGGCCTGCTGCCTGGTGGTCCTGGCCACGGAGAGCAAGGTAAGGCTCCCAAGTATCCATGAAAACCTTGGGAGCACCTAGGAGTCACGTCCAGAGTCTCTGGGATTCCTGGGACTTCTCTGGCTCTTAGATTGGGATAGCCACAAGCTCCCGAGGTGGTTGTGGAGCCACAAGTGTCAGGGTGGTTGTGTCCTGTAACCTGTCCTGTTTTCCCTGAAAAACACATTATTTTGGGAAATTTTTCCCTCTTGGATTGCTGCAAACATCCACAGTCATGTTCTGTGATGCCACTGGATCCTTCCCTGCTCTCACACCTTGTCCCCGGATTTAGGGATAACAGGTGTGGTTGGGTTTGCTGGAGCACGAGGTGATACTTGGAGAGAGAATTCTGATCCCTGTCACATCCCTGAGGCACAGGAGGGTCTCCAAGGATGATTTCCCTATTCCCTGCTGTCCAGAGTCTCCTCCAGCAGCACAAAATCCCTGACGACAAAATCGCACAGTGGGATTTTGTTCCTTGGAGTGTTTTCCTAGGAATCTGTCTCATCCAGTGTCTAGATCCACAGATTCCCATCTTGGCCTCTCCCATCTCCACTCAGGGTGGAGTTTCTCTCCTTGTGTTCTCCTCTGACACTCCCTGGGCTGAAGTGATGAGCCCAAATCCCAAGTGTGCTGCAGGAGGAGCCTCCGCATGGAATGTGGGTGCTGATGGGTTGATTCTGGAGCACCCAAGCTCCTGTTGCTGTGTGGAAGAGGATTGGAATAGTTCTCTGAGAGGGTGATGGATCAGCTTTGTGCTTTCCCTCTCCTCATGGGAGGACACCACCTATCCCATTGGATCCTCTCAGCCTCCCCTGCTCCTTCCCAGGTGTGTGCCGAGGAGCTGTGCTCCCTGCTCAGCCAAGTTTTCCAGATAGTTTACACGGAATCCACCATCGACTTCCTGGACCGAGCGATATTCGATGGAGCCTCCACACCCACGCGGCACCTGTCCCTGCACAGCGGTGAGTCCTGGCCCCCCTAGGGATCACCTGGGCTGGTCCCCAATGTCCAGCACCTCTCCAAGCCCAGACACAGCCAGAATCAAGGAATAGTTCAGGTTGGTAAAGCCCTTGGAGACCCCCATGTCCAACCATTCCTCCAGCACCACCAAGGCCACCACTAACCATGTCCCCAAGTGTCACATCCACATGGATGTTAGGTCCCACCAGGGATGGTGACTCCACCACACTCTGAGCAGCCTCTTCCAACCATTTCCATGAGGGAATTTTCCCAATATCCCACATAAATCTCCCCTGGAACAATCTGGTCATTCCCTGTAACTCATTCCTGTGTTAGGGATCACTTTGTGTCTCTCCCAGGTTGAGAAATCACCGAGTTTGTGCCTCTCACATTCCATATCCCATTTTTTTTGCCTTCCAGACGACTCTTCCACCAAAGTGGAGGTGAAGGAGCCCTTCGAGGCAGACACCAGCACTTTGTGAGTGAGCCCTGGAGCTGGGATTAGCCCTGGATCCACTGCCGTTGGCACTCGGGGGGTGTTAGCATGGAATCCTGTCCCTGCCTGGGGTATTGTCCCTCAGCATTCCAAAGAAGGTCATGGCCACAGCAAGCACTTCCTGTGTCAGCACAGTGCAAGCTCTGCTAGAGTCCAGCTGGAGCTGGGAGAAGGGTTTTCCCTAAAAAATCTATTGTTTGGGAAGTTTTTTTCTCATGGATTGCTGGAAATATCAACGGGATTCATGGGATGAAATTCCAACACACAAACCATTGGTTAATGTGGAGGGATGGTCTTGGAATGTCCAACACTGAGGGCTCTTGGAACATCCAACATTGAAGGATATTCCTGGAATATCCAAGGCTGAGGGATGTTCTTGGAGTATCCAACATGGAGGGTTCTTGGAATGTCCAACATTGAGGGATACTCCTGAAATATCCCACACTGATGGTTGTTCTTGGAATGCCCAACATTGAGGGTTCTTGGAATATCCAACACTGAGGGTCATTCTGGGACTGTCCAACATTGAGGGATGCTCTTGGAATATTCAGCATGGAGGGTTCATTTTGGAATAGCCAACACTGAGGGTTGCTCTTGGAGTATCCAGTATGGAAGGATCCTCATGCAATGTTTAACATGGAGGAATTATGAACATAATTGGAAAATTGCACGTTCAGCCCCAAAATTAGGAGTTTGGAGACTTCCGTGTGCTGTTCCCACAGGGAAGCAGCGGGAGGGATACCCCACCAAGAGCTACCTTGTCACCAGGTCACCAAACCAGTGTAGTTCCATCCCTGGGGGAGCCTTGGGGTGCCCTCAGGAGCTGGGAAATCATGGAATCATGGAATATTTTGGGCTGGGAGGGACCCCAAAGATCACAATCCAACTCCAGGCCCTGCACTGACTCGCCCGAAAATCCCCTCCTTATCCCTGCAAACCCCTCCAGCCTCTTCATGCCCAAGGAGCTTTGGAAAACTCATCCCCCTTCCTGTGTCAGTTCCTTTCCAGAGCCTTTGGATGCAGGAGACACGTCCCCATCCTCCTTCTCCACCCCTCAGTCCCCCCACGTGAAGACAGTGAGTGAGAGTGAGCTCAGCACCACAGCCACAGAGCTGCTCCAGGACTACATGATGACGGTGGGTGGTCCTTGGGATGCTCCTGTGGCTGGGGATCATGGCCTCAGAGTGACCTGCAGGGTGTTGGAGTGCTCCTGGGATTTGATATCACATGAGGGTTGCAGGAATAACTCCTCCTCAACTAAATGGATTGGAGCTTGACTGTGGGCTCATGTCATGGAATCATGGAAAGGTTTGGGTGGGAAGGGAATTTAGGGATGATCCAGTCCCACCCCCTGCCATGGGAAGGGACACCTTCCACTAGACCAGGTTGCTCCAAGCCCCATCCAGTCTGGTCTGGAACACTTCCAGGGATGAGGCAGCCACAACTTCCCAGCGCAACCTGTGCCAGTGCCTCAGCACCCTCACAGCCAACAATTCCTTCCCAACATCCCATCTCTCCCTGCCCTCTGGCTGTGGGAAGCCATTCCCCCTTGTCCTGTCCCTCCAGGCCTTGTCCCAAGTCCCTCTGCAGCTCTCTTGGGGCCCCTTGAGGCACTGGAAGAGGCTAGAGTGCCATGTCCCAGATAATGACTCACAGGAAAACGTGTATTATCATTAGCTGGTCTTGCAGGGATAGCAGGTCTCCTTCCCTTCAAGCATCTCCATGGCCTCCTCTGGAGCCACTCCACATCCCACAGGAACATCTCCATCCCTTTATCCCCATCCCACTCTCCACGCTCACCCACCACTCTGTACATCATCTCCCCTGCAACACCACTGCTTTCCCATGGGCGTGAGCTGGTTCCTTGCTGCCCCCAACACCCTTCCCAAGCTTCCCAAGGTGCCTTCCCGCACTGGGAGCGTGTCCATCCCGCAGCTCCGGACGAAGCTGTCCTCGCAGGAGATCCAGCAGTTCGCCATGCTGCTGCACGAGTACCGCAACGGAGCCTCCATCCATGAGTTCTGCATCAACCTCAAGCAACTGTATGGGGACAGCAGGAAATTCCTGCTCCTGGGTGAGTCCTGGGAGCTTTCGTGAGGCTGGAGAGCTCCCGAGGTGGGAATGGGGCAATGGGAAATGGAGTGGGATCAGGGGTGGGTGTGGGGCACAAGGGTGGCACCACATGAGGAGAAATGTCTCCATCTGTGTTGCCTGAGAAGATTGCTTGTTCCTGAGGGCAGATAGTCCAGATATTGTAGTTTATCCTGACTGGAGTCCCCCCTGGAGCTGCTCCATGCACCCACCTGGATGTGGAGCACCTGGGAACCTTCTCCAGACCAGGGAACCTCCTCCAGGCCAGGGAATCTCCTCTAGCCTTGAGAATCTCCAGGTCAGGGAACCTTCTCCAGACCAGGGAACCTCCTCCAGGCCAGGGAATCTCCTCTAGCCTTGAGAATCTCCAGGTCAGGGAACCTTCTCCAGACCAGGGAACCTCCTCCAGGCCAGGGAATCTCCTCTAGCCTTGAGAATCTCCAGGTTAGGGAACCTTCTCCAGACCAGGGAACCTTCACCAGACCGGGGAATCTCTTCCAGACCAAGGAATCTCCTCCAGGCCAGGGAACCTCCTCCCAACTTGGGAACCTCCAGACCTGGGAGGAACATCCAGACCGGGGACATTTTACCAGCTGGGTCCTCCCACCTGGCCTCTAATATCCAAGGAAAACAGCTCAGGAACATAAAATCCTCAGTGGATAGGAGCAGTGCATCTCACCTAGGCACTGGTGGCCCTTGGGGACACTGAGGGGACACCACAGCTGTCCCTGAGTCCCAACAAACCACAACATGGTGAGTGAGGAATTAGATCCTTTGGAGCTCAGAAAATCCCATCTGAGCCAGATTTTCCCCTCTGTGGGGTTAAAATGGGAGACCATAGAGCTCCCTATTGCCCCCAAAGAGCCTCCTGGGTTCTCCCAGAAGCCTTAGGAGCCTCGGGAACATCATCCAGGTGGGAATCCAGGCAGATTCCTGCCCCAGGTGGACACCACACCAACCTTTTCTCCATGCTATGTCCTGGCTCCAGGGCTGCGTCCCTTCATCCCAGAGAAGGACAGCCAACACTTCGAGAACTTCCTGGAGACCATTGGGGTGAAGGATGGTCGTGGCATCATCACCGACAGCTTCGGTCGATACCGACGCTCGCTCGGAGCTGCTTCCACCTCCAATGGCACCGGAGCCGCCGGCAGCTCCGATGAGCAGTCAGTGCCCTCTGAGGAGGACGAGTGGGATAGGATGATCTCCCACATTAGCAGTGACATCGAGGCCCTGGGATGCAGCCTAGATCGGGATTCATCCTGAGGGACAGCGGGATGGAGCAGGGGGACACGGTGGGATGTGGAGCTGCTCCTGGGGGGACATGGAATATGGAGCTGCTCCTGAGGGGGGTCCTGGACCTGCCCTTGGCAGGACACCAGGATACAGAAGTGCTCCTGGGGGGAACATGGAGCTGCTCTTGGAGGGACACCATGATACAGATCTGCCCTTGGAGGGACATGGAATATGGACCTGCTCTCGGGGGGATCCCAGGACATGAACCTCCTCCAGGGGGG